GCTATTGCTAAAATAATAATATAGTCGGGAAAATGAAATAAATTGAAATTTTATAAAATGTATATTTTTTAAATATACTATGGTGAAGGGTATATAAGATTCGGCAAAGGCGAATATAGACTTCTTACTTGTTTTTAATTAAAGCATTTTTTAAGACTATTTGCAAAAAATTAGGCTGAGCTTAATACAAGTAATGCCAATAAATATATTTGAATCCTGGAAATCATTATTAGTTTGTGTTTTACATATATTAATGAAATATATTGAAATTCTATTTATAAATTATTTTTTTCATTCTTGGAAAGAAACAGCAAGACAACAATTTATTTTTGATGTTAATTAAAATCAAAATGTCAAAATAATTTAAAAACTGATCGCATGATTTCTACAATATTTTTACCAAAATAAAATAGTTAAGAAAATAAGTTTTTGCGAAAAAACATTTTTTTTGCAAAAAAGGCGTTACTGAAAGAAATATTTTTTCATAAAAATATGGAATTAACACATACAATGGCAATTATAAAAGAAAATCCGAATAGTTGTAAAAACAATTACATATTATTCGTACACTATACTAGACCAGAATTACTAGTATTGAGAAAACAGTTTTTGCGAAAACTTCTGTATTACTTAGTCGAATTCAATAAATTTTGGTATGGACATTTTTGTATATTGGACCAACCCATAAATATAATTACACACAAATAGTTTAGGCTTTAAAGATCTTATCGCGTTTTTAGTAAAAAGGATATATGACAACAACCAAATTATAAAGAAACCAACATGATGAATTCAGATTATTTATATAATATTACTAGAAAGTTTCAGAATTTTATTGCAAACTTTGTGCGAAATATCGCTATTTTCCATTTTGGGATATATGGGAAGTATATGAATCCTTGGACCAATTTTTTCTAAACTTCAAATTTTTCTTAATTATACCAATCTACAACAATGAGCCAAATTTCGAAACCCTACAATAAGCAACGTTTAAATTTACTAATATATTAGTAACCACTTGCAGTAAAATACACATATCTATCAATATAATACTAAAAATATTTTAACATCTTCACATTTTAATATTATTGCTACTAAAAATTTCAACATTACTTTGAAATTTCTAGCAGCTCATATTCACAGTGTTTATTTTCTGCGTTTGTAGAACAATCGAAATATATTTTTTTGCTATAGTAAAGCACACACGCCATCGTTGTGCTGCTAATTTCTTCCTAGCTGCAGTATATTGTTTTTGTTCTGCTACTGCCAGTAGCAAAATTGGCAACTGCCAGTTGCAATTTATTTATGTTTTAAACACTTATTGGTACTACATTTTGAAGGTATTTTCTATGCAATGTATACAGTGTAAAAACTTGTTAGTAAACAGTATTATATAATACATACATATATACATACATACATACATACATACATACATACATAAAATCATGTTACAAAAACACTAAAACGGTTATTTCTCTAAAAACAAATTGTTTACCAAAAATAGACAGCAAACACAATAACGGAAAATTTTTCAACATTCTAGAATAACAAATACAATATAACATACCAAAGAGAAGCGTGAAAACATTGGGTTAATTTCTGGTTATTATAAAAACAAACAAAGTAAAAAAGCACAGCAAATCACAAAGAAAACCTGAAACATGTATTGAATATAAAATTTAAGAAGCCGCCATATTGTAAAAAATACGATAAATTGCAAATGACAGTTGCTCATTTTGCAAACAGAACAAATATTTCTAGTAGTGAAGTGATGGAAAAATTTTAAAGTTTTATATTTATTGCATAGTTGTACAAGAAAAATCTTGTGCTATTGCTGCATATTTAAACGCTGACAATAAGTCCTTCTATTTTTGTCCAATGAATGTATGAAAACGAATCACTGTGCGCCATGCTAAAGGCCGGCTATGCAGGATACTTTTTAAAAGCAATCCAAATCTTAACATACGTCTAATTTCTGAACAATAGTGTCCCTTTCCTAAATTCATAGCAAATTTTCCAATACATTTCTGTTTTTAAAGTGTCACAATGTCCATCGACAATATGACACTTTTAAGAATTGTCGTAAAGTCCATGGACACTATGACACTTTTAGGTGTGTCATATTGTCCATTTACATTATGACTGACTTGTGTTAAATTTGATGAAAATTGCTTTATATTTAATTTATTTATAAGTATTTAATGAGTTTTCTGTGGGGTCACTTGTATGGGGGCTAGGCGAAATCTTCAAACGATATTGCCCTTCGTCAGTACCAAACAAATCTTACCTGTAAGAAATATTTGTGGAAAATTTCAGCTATTTATTTAAAGAAACAAAGAAGTTATCAACTTTTGGCCGGAATTTACCACCGTGCAATGTTAGCACTATAAGATAGTAAGTCAGACACAAATTTTCAGCGCTATAGATCCAGAACTGCCGGACTTAGATTGGGTCAAAGTTGGACATTTTGTCATACAGGGTTTTATTCAAATGCGTGTAACTTTTCCACTATTGGTCCCAGCAAAAATTGTTCATTTCTATCTATTTCTTCAATGTTTCCAAAACAAATTTTTAACATTTTTAAAATTATTTTTTGGAATTTATAGTTTTATTGTTAAAAGGACATGTGTTAAAAATTTTTCAATTGTAATTTGCAAAAGTCATATCCTCACTGTGGGAAACTGTGTAGTTATTTGCGTTAAAAATTTTTTACGGAAAATAATGCGGCAATTACAATATAAAAATTTGGTTTAGATTTTTAGAACAAGTGTAAATCAATGAAATTTAATCAATATCATTAAAAATATAAAATATAGAAATTGATGAAATGACACAAAGACTTATTAGAAAAAACACACCGAGTTGTCTTTCAAAATCTTTAACTGCCAAAGGGAAGCGACTAGTATCCAAGGAAAACCATTGAAGTCTATGTTTAAATTTAGACCTCTAAATAGACCTTAGGTTGCCAATATAAAGTGAACTGTCGTGTGGTATAGGAAAAATACTTAATTTAGATATTTACAAATAGAGGTGGTTATCGTCACCTAAGGTTCACAAAAGCAATATTTTTCAGCTAATACATACACTTATATATATTTAGAACCCAAATCAAGAATAACTATCCAGATCCAAATAAGTATTTTATTCATAAAATAAAGCATTCAAAATATGAGGTAGAAAATCAAGTATTAGTTCTATAGTGGTATACGGTGATCTCCCCATACTTAGAGTGGCTACGATGGTACTTAGTGTTAGATTTATTGAATAAGAGCCAATATTTTACAATTCTAAATAAAATTCACATAGTACTCCCCAAATAGCAGGGGTTTCCGTAAAGCAGTTTTTGTTTTCATGTTATGTCAAATATGGATAAATTCTATAAATCGGTAAAGAAATATCCAAATTTAGTCGTACCATTACTAAAATATCTAAAAATTGTTATTTTAATCTATAGGAGTAATAAAAATATAAAATTTAATATATAAACATAAAAAAATTGCAAAAAACCTAATAAGCAAAATACTTTATTGACCTAAAAAATTAACAATACGTTCACACGTTACTGACTGACTGACTCATTATCGCACAGCCTAAATGGTTGAAGCTAAAAATTTGAAAATTGGACATGAGATTGTTCTCCCACCAAATTTATCCACTAAGACGGGGTTTTTGGAACTTCGAATGTTTAGGAGTAAAGAGTAAAAACGGGTAAATTCGGTAACCTCATATGTCCTAAACTTGAAAAGATACAAAAACGGTTTAAAGCTTATCGTCCTTCATTTAAAAAGTAAGCGGATAGGTGTGCGGTACTTTTTCAAATTCGTCCTCTTTAGGAAATAAACGGGTAAAAATTGTATTTTAATACTTTTTTGCACCCTATGTATGTTTTTAAGCAGTGAACATTCAAAAAATATTTTTGACTTCTTCATAACTTAACGAAAAATACAAATATGAAATTAGTACTTTTTGGATATTCGGACGTTTAAGGGGTTAAAATTGTACCTTTTGGAATATAATTTTTACTTCGTTAATAGTGAGGTAAAAAGTACCAAAAGGGTGTAAAGTACTTTTTCGTTATTCGTCTGGTACTTTTTGAATTTATTATAATAATGAATATAAAAACATGAAATTAGACATGTAGAGCCCAGAGTAAGTAGCACTTTTTGGTTCCTCTTCGTTCTTCAAAAGTTGGTAGTAGATATGTGGACTTGAGTGAATGAAAATTTAAAATGGTTAAGATTATCAAGTTAACAATGGTTATTAAAACCTGTTTTATTTGAAAAAAACTGTGTATTTTTAACTTTAATAACCGTTTTTGCATAAGGCAGTGAATATAAATATAAACATTAAAATAAACACGCAATATCCTGATTGAACCAAATTCGAATTTTCTATAATATTCACCTAAAAACATAAAATTGAACACGCAGCTTCCTGGTTGTATACATATCTGTATGCAAATTAAAGATATGTACATCATCCTGATTTTATGAAAATCTATAAAAAGGCACTTTCTGGTATTTTTTCGTTCTTCAAGTGTTTTTTATTGTCTGTAATATTGAGACTAGAATCATAAAATCAAACTTCAAGATTTTCAATATTAAACCTAGAAACAAGTATGAAAATCTCTAAAAGGGGACTTTTTGAAATTGCTGATATATGTATGTATATACATTTAAAATGATAATATTTATTTTATTCCATTACAATCAGGGTAGGGAAGCACACTGGTGTTTATTTACAAAACTTGCATATAATTTTAATTGTTTTTATAAAATAAAGCATCATTTCAGTTAAATTATCAGTGAGATGTCGTAATAAAATAAGAATTTTGTTACCCCTAAACATTAATATAAACAAAAAACCGACGTTTTGCCAAGTGTTGTGATAAATATTTGTCTAATATAGACACGGGGTAATAAAATTAAAATTCGATTATTTCAATAGATTTTAATAAAAATAGCTTATAGGTATATAATTTTATGGGAAAGACTTAC